AACAGGAAGCTCCCAGGGAGAGTACAAGTCTGTGTGGGAAAGTGGCCTCAAACCAGGCTGCCCACACTAAACAGGAGTGGGAGTTAGGGATCAAGACCAGGCTCTGCCAGCCATGCTGCCAAGGCACTTGTCCAGCCTCATGGTTCCTCCATGGCTGGTAGTTCTGAGGCCATGTTCCCATCTCCGTCCCACAAAAGGCAGCTGCTTCTGCAGGATGGGGTGAAGGGGGGCGAGAGGGAGCAGAGGGTTGACAAAGCAGCTATTTCCCTTTACTGATAGAGCAGAGCAAGAACTAGATGTCCCTGCCTAGATGTCTGCCACAGTACTTGTCCAACCAGGGGCTGCAAATGGCTAGCACTGGTGAATTTGGAGCTGGTAAGGGAACGGACACTGTTTTTCAGGGGGTGGTTTTTTTTTCTGCTCCCAATGTGCTTGGCACCAAGTCAGGCTCTCAGTGATGTGGCTGCAGAGTGAGGTTTGAAGCTGCTGTCGTGGGAGTCTCTCCACATGAGAGAGAGATCAGCACCCATGAAACTGATGGCAATCTGTCTGCTTTCCAGATAGGAATACCTTGGCCTGGCTGTGACCTGGGATCATCCCCCTTTCTAGAACTAAAAAGGATTGTCAGTCTTGTGATGTGAGATCTAGAAATTGTGACATGAAGGGCTTACTGGTAGGGGCATGATGAAGAAGAGGGATTTCCTTCCCCCCCAGGGAAAATTGCTGCCCCTGGGTAAAAAGGATCTTAGATGGCTGGATAGCAATCCTGAATACTTTAGCTGGATAGCAATCCTGAATACTTTAGCTGGATAGGGCTGGTTCACAGCTCTGATAGTGGTTCTTGTTCTGGTTTACTATGGCAGCGTTTGTGTTCGCTCAGCATAAAGCAGTGGTTATCACCTCAGAATGGTCATCCCAAAATCTGTTAGTAGCCTCTGTGTTCATCTTTGGACTGTTGTTTGCTTTTGTTTTGTTGTTGAGGAGCTGTGCCCAAGGGAGTGGCAAGCTACTGAGAAAAGCTCTTCCATTGCTGCAGCACCCAGGATCCCTGTCCAAAACCAAAGTCCCTAAAGAACCACTCCACTCTCTGCTGTAAAACAGCATAAGCCAGTTTGGGAGCTAGTGACAGGATTTGATGGAGGCAAAAATGGCATTTTGGTGAACTGGAGTGAGCCTGGAGTTAGGCTGGAAAGAGTATCTGATCTCTCCTGAGTTTTCCATAGCTCCCAGTGTGTTTTGATCACTGTAAATTCTAAATTATGGCAGGACCCCTAAAGTGCTTTTGGAGTCCAGCTGAACTTCTTCTTTCCTGTCCCTGTCCTCTCTTTCCCCATAACTGCCCCCTTGCTGTCCACATCTGTCCCGTACAGAAGAGTGTCAGGCTCAGGTACTCGGCATGTAAAACTGGAGGTCTCCTTTTCCTCTTAGATAGAAGAGATGCTAGTGAGACAGACGAGCCTGGGAGTTTGAGTGGGTTTATTCCTTATAGGTGGTCTTCAATGGGCACTCCTAGTTTGGTAGTTGGCCTTTGCTGTGACTCCTTAAATTATTAACGAGATCTCAATCATCTTAATTCCACCATTTTCAAGTAGTCAGCCGGTTCCTTGTATTCAAGTTACAATATTTGATGTGTTAGGTTAACAGCATACTCCAGAAATTCCTGTTGTTTTGGAATCATGGCAGGACACCCTGCCTGCACAAGCCAGGTTTTATGGAGCAGTTTGTCTGTCTGAAGGGTGAGTAAGGCAGAAAGCCTGTGAGGGTGTAATTTCTTGAGTGCTGCAGGGCCAAGGGAAGCATTCTCCTTTTGGTGCCATAACGTCTCCCTACACAGCTTGCCGAGGGCCCCCAGGTGCCCGTGCTGTGCTGCTGTGGAGCGGTTTTCATAGTGATGTGACTCGTGTGGCCTGTTTGTGCAGAACAGGCTGGTTGGTGCTGACCAGCAGCGATATCTGACTGGTTCTGGCCGGGCAGTCTTTGCCCTGCTGAGTCACACCTGGCAGAGCCAGCCAGCCTGATGCCAGCGTTCCTCCGTGTCCCGCACTGCTGCTCTTTCCCTTCATGACCAGCTCGTGGCCGGAAGCTGAGGGGAGCGTGGTGCCTGCACAGGTACAGGCTGGGGAGCCGTGCTGGTGCTCAGGGGTTGTCACTTAGGAAGCACGTGGCTTTACAACTCGGCATTTATTTCCTTAACGTACTATCTGCAGAGTAGGGCAAAGGTAGAAACGGGGGCAGTGCTTACAGGGAAGTGGCTATCGTGGGGCTGTTGCATCTGGTTGTCAATTCCGATCACGGGACATGTGATATGTCAAATTTATTATCAACGCTCTTTTATCTGGATCAGCCTGTCACCTGTAGGTGGAGAGGCTGCAGGTGAGAGATAAGGAGGAAGTGAACGTACTGCTGGTGATTCACACGACAGGCTGGAAGTCCCACCTGAGGCCAACACTCCCTGTGCAGTACCTGGAGAGAGGCAGTCCCTGCCCTGGAATGTCTGACCTCTGGCCAACTTCCAAAGTGCTTGGGTCATGTCTTTTTAACAGAAGCTTAAGCTTGGGTATGCTCCAATGCTTCCCTCTTTTCTCTGGAACTTGCAATTGGGGTCCTGCTGAGGTGATGAAGACAGGTAGTTGTGGGGTAGGAAGGGGAGGATGACAGTGCTGCCAAGAGCAGGACAACACCTTCCCTTAGGATTTAGGGTATGAAATGCACAGCTGCGAGTCCATGTAGATTGTGTGGGCAGCCGAGTCCTGGGGAGGTTATACAGAAGGGATCTGGAATTCCCAGGCTATGAGTTGCTTGGGCAGGGTGTCCAAGTGTGGAGGAGACAGCATTGTGCAAAGAGGTGATGGGCAGTCCTGAGAGTGAGCACTAAGGGCAGGAGCTCACTCAAGGAGGGTGGTGCAAGGAAGTGCTTGTGGCTGCTCCTGCTGGGTGCAGTAATTCTAATAAAGTGATGGTTTGCCATGATGTGCCTGTGAGTGAACTTGGGTTGAAAGGGAATGGAGTGAGGCTGTGTGGATGGTGACACCCTAGAGAACAAAACTGTGTCAAGGTCTGGGGGGAGGGTGGAGGCTGCCTTCCAAAGGTTCAGATTTAACTTGTGGTTTGTGAGGGCTGTGGGTGAGACAGTAAAGCAACAGGACCTTAGCATGCAGGGAGGACAGGGTCTAAGTCCAGGACAGGTTTTCCTTGGGGATATGCTGGCACCTGAACCACTGTAGTAGTTTGGCTTTTTCACGATGAAGAGCATATGGACTTTTATTGGGGGAAGAAGACCAGAGGGCTGCCAGGTTTTGCAGGGGATGGAAATGTTCCTTGTGGAGGAAACACGGCAGCTGAGGGCATGTGGGCTGGGAAACTGCTAGCAAGGAGCTCCAGCTGCGTTCCTGAAGGCGTGTTTCACATCACCGTGGTGGCACTCTGCCACCCGGCTGCGATCCTAAAGCTGCCTGGAGAGCAGAACAAAGGTGAGCTGGCACCGTGTGGGCTGGAGGGAAGCGGGGTGCAAGTGTAGGGAGCTCCCTGGGTGAGTGTGCTGGGGTGCCCATGGGGTGCTCTCTGCACAGTGCTGGGCACAGGGAGGGGCTGAGCTCTGGTCTGTGACCTCTGGCAGGCACAATGCCCTCGGCCACAACACTCCTTCAGCCAAGTCAGCCACGCTCACACCTCAGGGTCTGGTTCCTTCCAGTCCAAAGGAGCCCTGATACAGTACCCTCCATCTGGGATGTTAACAAATTAGGACAAGGGTTTGCCCATCTTTTGGGGAGGTGTGTTCAGAGAACTGAGGGAAAATGCAGTGTCCTGAAAAAGATGTGGGAGATTGGGTTAGGTAATTTAGTGGTTCCTCAGGCTTTGGAGCTGTGCTGCAGGAGCACAGCTGTCTCTGGCTAAGAGGGTTTATGCAGGATCAGCATTAGATCCTGGTGATGCCTGATCACTATTCATACCGAAGTTACTGTGTTCCATTTGGATTGAGCTCCAGCTCTTGCTGCAGGGCAAGGGAGAGCATAGAAACAAGTTCAGAATGTCATGGCTCACACTCTGAAACGGTCTTGCAAATGTCTGCAAAGCTGCAGGGATGCTTGGGTAGGCTCTTCCCTTAAGGATAATGGAAACCCGTGTCTTAAACTTTCTTCTTGTCACCTCCCCTGCTCACACAAGTGACTTTCTGGACAAAGCAGCTGTTTGATAGGAGTTTTGGCAAGGATAAAGGAAGGTTTCTAGCTAATAACATGTCATGATAGAAGTTGTAAGGATGTAGTTACAGTATAAATAAGGGAAAATAGTTGTAGCTGTAAAAAAGGCATCTTAAACAAAGGAGTGCTGGGGAAAGTTATCAATTTGGGAAAGCACAGCAGGGCCTTGGCCACAGTTTTGTCACATTAGGAAGCTGCAGATCTTAGTCTAGAGGGCTACTCTGTGAGCATGTAAGAAACTACTTGTAGAAGTGACTGCAGTGAAAGGCTGCTGCCTCCTATCCCTGACTGGGGCAGAGCTCTTGAGAGGTGACTAGCCTAGCATTTTTTGTGGTGCACCTAAGGATTTTCCTCTGCTGAAATTCACAGGCTACAAATAAGCAGGGCCGCTGTCTGCTTTAAATTATCCTTTCTCCATTACTAGTAAACCTTGGATTAAAATGGCTGACAATGCTCCTGTGCAGCTCTCCTGAACCAACAGCTGCTACATCAATATATGGAACAGGCAGAATAGTAATCCCTGGAGACTTAGACTGGATTTTGTATGATGAGGAACAGAGGGACAGTAGCACTGGTAATGGTACAGATTCCTTGTGTGGCAGAAGAAATTCTCAACCCTTAAAAATGAAACAATTTGACAGTAATTGTAATGTAACCCTTTTGCTCCTGACTGCTTCTACCAGCATGAAGGGACAGCTGAGCTATTTATACACAGTTCTCTCAATTTAGACCTGAGTGGAGCCTGTTTGGGATTTAATTCAACATCAGAAAACACAGCCTAAGCATTAGAGAAGACTTCACTTTAGAATTCAGTAGGGTTTATTCTACAAATCTTAGATCAATGCCAATGATACAAGTTTTATGAATTCTCATTAAAAATACAAGTCAGTATAAAGATTCCAATAGTAATATAATGCATGATGATTCAGTTTCAAAACTCAAGGAATTAATCTGTGTTTTGGACCATGCTACAGAAAAGGGGAACATAACGTAGAAAGAATATTTAGTTTACCTCCCTTTACTTGAGGAGGGGCCTGTGCCTTATTGCCACAATACCTGAAAAAGCAATATGAAGTGCATAGCAGCCTTGCCTGTACAGTCTCTAGGCAAAACTGTTGTATCATAGTCCTCTTCCCCCCTAGTTCTGTTAATTAAGGTACATTTTGATAGCCTGATATCACTACAGTAACTTAAAGCTATTGCAACACCATCCCCGAAATGGTTATAAACGACAGTCCTCTGGACTGTAAAATGTTCTTGTGATGCACTGAAACTTTTCCACCATGCTAACCATTTTGCCCAGCCTTTCCTGGAACACTAAATACTGACTCCAATTAAAGGTGAATTAGTTCCATGTTCAAAACTGTCCCATACATTTTTTAGTGAAGTCTCAGTGCAGTCTAATACTTAAATGCGTTGTTCATAGCTTCAGGCACAGTTAGAATTTAAATCAGACATTTTAGGTTTTCTTGACCCTAGCCCTCTGATATGATGAAAGGTATGTTAGCTTTCACAAAACAGCTGAAATTTGGCCACAGAATTCCTAGATCAAATGCTTTGGATCGGGGGAGAACAAACTACCCTTTCTTTCTGGAGCTGCCTGCACCTAAGAGGATTTGGCTTAATAAAGCCGTACCCCTAAGCCTAAATTTTAGAGAAATAGTTTAGTTATCATGAGGGGTAACTCTTGATAAGATGTGCACCTCATCCCCCAAATGTTGTACGTACATCTGTTTGTTCCTAGTGACATTTCCGCCCTGTCAAGAACAAGGGGCACCTCATGTTGAGTCCAGTCATTTCTTGTAGCAGAACCACATCAACAGCACAGAGCAGGGATCATGCATCAATCTGCAAAGGCAGACAGGGAACTAGGCTGAACAATATGCACACATTTCCAAACAGAACTTTGGTGCAGACAGTGGCATTTAACTGAAACTCAGCTTTTACCAAAATATTATAGCATAATACAAAAATCTGAAAGCAAAAAAGGGTAAAAAGAAGCTGCTGACTTCCACACACCAGTGAAAGAAAAAACCCCTCTTGCATAAATGGAGCAGCAGCACAGAACAAGCACCAAGTTGGCTACACCAATACATCTTCTGTAGGAATTTGCAAGAATTATCCACCCAACATCGTACTATCATATTTTAGCATCATACCAAAACATAGCCATTAAGCCATCATGCAGGCTAATGGGAATTTCTTCTGCTGTACTGAACACTGCTGTGCTTGCTTTGAATACATATTGTCGCTCTGATTTGTCTTTGTAGTAGATGCATTTTTAACAGTCACGTTTAGTCTTAAGTAAAAAAGTTCAGTAGCCCATACTGGGCTTTAGTACAGTCAAGGTGACAAAAAAAATACAAGGATGGCATTAAACTGCATATATTCTAGAAAGGGGGTTACTTTGCATTTAAGTCACATTTAATACAAGACAAGTTGGTCTGAAACTGTGAACTGATCCTATTTGGAACAAAGTATGGCACAGATTCCCAACATCTATGGACATTGTGATAACACATTTTTCTCTTTGCAATGATTATCAATTCGCCAAAAACAGTATAATAGTCAAAAGGGAAGAATGAAGGAAAACAGATTTAGGAGAAGAAATAAAAAAATGCCTAAGAATTGAAAATAAATGACTTCTTTTGTAAGAAACTTTATTTAATGTCATTATTAAAAATGCATTCTCTCCTCAGAACAAATGCCACCATTAAAAAAAAAAAGGATTGCAGTAGCACACACTTGCACTCAAAGGAAAACATGCAAAACTGATGGCTGAAAAAATTCTGCATAAAAATCCAAGACTTCAGGCAAAAGTTTGCCCCCATGTACCTTTAGGGACCCCAGACCATGAACAACTTTCAGTGCAATGCCTCTTGCTTCCAATTGGTGGGGAAACATATGGCAGGAGCTTGTCTTCTGACAGCTATACTCTCACAGATGTTTAAAGCAAAAACAGTCTCAGCTATGTTTTAAGATACCATTGTTAAACTGTTGCAGAAAGTACAAACAATTCAATAAAATGTCAGAATCCAGTGAAGAAAAACTTTTGAGATCTACCCTGTGCCATACACTTCTTAAAAAAAATTAGACAGTAAAACAAATTTTATTAATACACCCTCTTTAAATTTTTTATTTCTGAAAGCAGCTCTTTATGCAAATCAAAAGCAGTTCCTGAGTAACTGCAGTAAACAGTGTCTTTTAAATATTTTTGCGCCTCAGCTCTTCTGTTTTGGTTCTTCCTTGTTTTTCTCCCTAGTTTTCAAGTTTTTTTTCAGTTCTTTTTCAAAAATGTGCAAGTTCAGTTAGCATCGTTTCCAGAAGTCCACAGCTTGCAGGTCTTCCTGCAAGAACTCTAAGTTGATCTGGACATACCTAGGCTGTACTCCTACCCTATTGCAGGCTTTGCTCTCAGACCTGTACAGCGTGCGCCTTCACGTCTTCTTCAGCATGCGCCGGGACTGCCACGTGTGGAACTTGTTGTAGGCCGTCTGCAGCATCTCCTCTATATGGCCTACCAACTGAAACATTTAAGAGGGAGAGAAATTGTCCTAGCTACTGGAAAAACAGATCCCCTCCCCTTCCTTTGCTAATCAGTTGGATTCTTCTTTTATTCACTACAAGTAACCTCACTAAAATCAGAGGTGTGTCAGAGAAAGGCTCTATTGCGAAGTATCCACAGAGGGAGCAGTGCAGAGAGCTGCTAAGCTGATAAGGTCACAGGGAAGTGCCACCTGATTATGCTGTCTGTTCCACTATTTAGTCTGCAACCACTTCATGTCTGACATGGTGGGAGACAGTCTGAAGTTGCTCAAGTTCTACTTCATGGTGGAAGTGGAAAATGAAACATGACTTCCCCTCTCTGTTGTCTCACTTGAGTAATTTCACCTTATAGTTCTTGACACTTGCTGGCATCACTCAGCAAGTTAGATGGGGAGAGACAACATGCTTAACTGTGTACCTAATTTCCCTCTGCCCATTTCCTAGTTAATGAAAAACTCAGAATGCCCTAGAATAGAAAATAACAAAGCTACCATCCTTAATAGTTAAGACTGAAATTATTAGTATGCACCCACATAATTAAACAGTACTTTCCCCTTACATTTGTGCTTAAATACTGTCTCCGAATCTTTTCTTGGAATGGGCAGAGCTTTGTAACCTGAAATCTTTCCAAGTTGCTCCTCATTTTCACAACCTGAGAAGGACAGAAACCAATATTATAATACAGAAGTATTGTAACAACACATAAGTTTCATTTCCTTTAACAAATTGTTCTCCAACAGAACACCTTGTAACTAATTTAGGGGGCTAATTCAGGTATGAGTAATTTAAGAAAGAACAGTTATTCAAATATCAGTCTCTAACACTTCTTGAGTGCATATCTATTTTTGAGGCAAGTGCAGTGTGGCACTCTGATCGTTACTACTCCATCAGTTAACACTAAATATAGATAAAGCTATTCATAAAAACATCTTTTTTTGCTTCAAGTAAAGGCTGTAGCATGGATTTTCAGGCCACGTTTTGCAACAGACATACAAAAATACCTGAATGCAAATTTTTATCTTTGTTTTCCATGTGAGGTCAAAAGAAAGAATACATATACACCTGGCTGTAGACAGACATCTCTTCTTGTCTGCACCTTAGTTCTGAAAAGCAGTGTGTGTTCTGAAGGTATGACAGTGATTTTTGCAATGGATAGAAGAATAAGGAAAACTTTCTTGTAACTGTCACTACAAAGGTTATTTCTTGGCGTTGGGGGAGAGAGGCTTTTGTTTCTGTGTTTTAAACTGGAATGAGAATGCTGCAGCTGCAACAGAGCTGACCAATCTGCTTGAAACTGGCTTACAGCAACTGTTCCAAAGGCAGCTAACAGGGAGGCAGGAACAAGGGTGATTTTAACTAAACAGCATCAGCAGAATTACTGAAAAACTTGATGTTTTGCGTTGTTTTGTGACCTTCAGTTTTAGGGATGAGTAAAAGCTGCACTGATTTAAGGCACATGTATTAATTCTATATTTCAATAATGACAGTCATTCTAAACCGTGATCTGGCCACATCCTAACCAGGGCCACGCTAGGAAGCTCCGCCTTACCTTTTCTTCTAGGAATGGCGTGTTAACAGGGAAGCAGGACCAGAAGTGTCGTAGCAGTTCCCCTACTGCCACGTACAAGTGTTTTAGTTCAGACTGAATGTCATTTGGCACCATCTCTGCAACAGGAAAAAGGTTTTGTCACATCACTCAAACTATCTTATGAAAAGTGAAAATTAAGGCTAATGAAGGAGGTCAGCAATGTATGTTCCCACTAGAATCACAGAAAGGTTGGCCAGCAGGGAACACCGAGGTGCCTCATCCCTCAGCAGCTCTTAGATCAGGACTACTGGCAGTTATTAGATCAGGTTCAGCTGCTATTTATGGCTCTATACTTGGAAGCTTGTGTGCTACACAGGGAGATCCATGCCAGGCAAAGAATGGACACCAAACCTTAACCCAGGATTAGAAGTAGTATATTTGTATTGTTCTAACAGTGTGGCAGTACTGCTTCCAGGACCAGCACCTTGTGCTCACAGCACTGTGCTAAGTACTGTGTGGTGCACACAGCAAAGTTTTCCCTCTGTCTTACATTGGCAGTGAGAATATGGTCACAGTGTGTGGAAAATGAAAAATCCAGACAGGAAAAAGGAACTGTATCCCAGGTACTCTTAAAGAAGAAAGGGCGACAGGGTTCAAGAACAAGGAAGGAACCACAACCATGAAGACCCAAACAAAAAGCACAAGCCATCACTGAGGATGAGGAGGAGCACACTGAACTGAACAGTGAAGAGCAAACTCTAGGATGAGGTTGTTTTTTAAAAAAAAAAAAAGTGGTGGTCAGGCTCAAAGTGAAGTGTAGCACCCAGAATGTCAACTGGGATGGGCAGAAAGCCTCACCACTGCTTGCTGATTCCTTCTCTTTCACTACCATAAAGAACTCATACTTTCTTTTTCAGCTGTCCGATTTAGTTTCTGTTGCTTTTCAGAGCAAGTAACACAAGATAAACTGGAAAACTATTATAAATCTTGAGAACAGAGTTTCATCTGCTGTCAGACTACAGAGACAGGAACTCAAACTGGCAGGAATGTGACAACAGGGAAAGGGGTGCTTGCATGGAGGTGTGAGAAGGAGAGGTTATCTGATTTGCCCTTGCAGTCTTCAAGTTGCCTTTTTTCACAGCAAGGTGTGGATCCTAAAATCAGGTTGCAAAAAACCTCGTTTCAGACAATGATCTAGACCTTGCTTCCTTAGAGCTTTCAAGGTATGCCTGCATTTTCTACAGTCCAGAAAAAAAAATATCAGAAAAGAAATGCTGAACAAGTAAAACCCAGTATCTGTAAGAGGACTTAGTATCTATCAAATGCATCCTTCATTACTTGCTCTGTAAAATTTTCCTCTTGCTCACTTGCCTCAGCACTGGTGTAGCCAGTACCACCCTCATGGTGTTGGCTGGGTTGTTGCTTTCCTTTTTTTGTTGTAACCCGGTACTACTCCAGCTACACATTTCCATAATTTCCTTTATCACTGTAACACATTCCAAGAGAGAGATGAAACAGCAAGCCAGCTACTGCTGAGCAATGCAATAAGATACTATTAAAGTATTAGACATCCTAAATCCTTACGGTTTATGGCTTGCTGTGTTCCACCCTGCATAAGTGCTCCTCCAGGTGACAGGACTGCAATAGTGCTGGCAGCATCACCACTTGAAAGAACCTGAAGGGAGAGGGAACAAATATTTCAGCTCATGTTTTCCAAAAAAATCTTTTTAAACTAAGTTCTATTTGAACCCCAATGGCAAAGATTGGTTGAACAGATACAGTGGAAGCTCAGGCAGTCAGCTCTTCTCCAGAATTAGTCACAGTGCCTTTAAGTGCTGTACTCATTTGCAGTGAAAGCTCTCCAATTAATTATGAAAAAAACAAACCCTTTCTTTACCTAGGACTGGAACAGGCTGTGCAGCTACTTTGAGGTGAGACAGAGAGTTACTGTACAGAAGGGTGACACATTCACAGTTGTGGCTGCTTTACTAATGGAGGAAGTTCAGACACTGGCTGGGGAGATTGGCCACAGGGCTGTGCTGCCCTCCAGGTGCCAGGACACAGCTTCTGTGCAGCCCATGGTGAGATCAATAGCCTACCAAGTGCATTTAGGAGCAAGCGACCAGTTCACTTACAAACCTGCTCACCATAACCTTCTAAGACTATTACATCCTAAACTTCAGAGGGTGGGATCAATACACTGGCCTGTGCATGACTGTCCTGCTTTACTACCTCATACCTTTGTCATTTCCTCAAAAGAAAGTAGGAACAGTAGAATATAACTGAGCATCAGCAATGACTCAGTTTCCTACTGTGTAGATCTTAAACATGATAGCTCAAAAGGTATTGCCTAAAACTGTAAACTAAATCAGGTAACATAAAACTACTGGAGATAATTTAAGTTTACCCTGAAAAATTAGAATTCCAGTACACGTGAGACACAAACCTATACAGAAAGCAAGATGCCAACATCAACAGGGAAATTTTTTTTTGTATTCTTCCATACCTGAGTTAGTTTAGGTACATATGCTTCCATTTCTTGTCTAATACTATTAAAAGAATTAATTATATCCTGACTGGTTGCATATTGCTGTGATTGAATTGGAGTTGGACCATGATAATACCTGTGTGGTGAGAAAAGGAAAAAGTGCATTAATAAGAGTGTTGGTAAAGCAAGAGACCAAACTCAGTTCTTCTAATGTTTCTAATTTTAGATACTTTGTAACTGTTGTCAGTAAATAAGGTTTAGACAGTACTGTCAAAGTACAATACATTGCCATGTGGAAAGAGGTTGGGTTAGAGATGGTATGGCAGCAAAATAAGAGCTTCCATTGTTGAATCTGTGATCATCATTTTGCTAATGAAAATCTACCTGTGCACCTAATTCTGGGAATATCCTTAAAGTGCAGCAATTCACATCACTTACACTGAGCTAAATGAAATTAGGTTCACATTTGGAACTGTTCTCTTTCCTATAGTATCACTCTTTTTCTGAAGTTACATCTTGGTCCTCAGACTCTTGTTTAGGAAACAAGAGGACTACTACTAGAAAAATCCAAGACCAGTGAGCAGTCCAAACTATCCTGATTGCACTTTTTTGCCCGGGAGTGGAATTTCCCTGGAATCGTATATATTTTCACATGTAACACATACATTTTTCCATTGAAAGCTGCAGCAAAGTGCTGAACTGTGAATGGAGGTCTGTTAGACTTCCAACGAAATTACATGTCAAAGGCATTCAGGGAGGCTTACAGAGACTCAACACTCAGAAAAGCAAGATGGAATTGAGCAGAAGGGTGGGACTACATGATCTCAGGAGGTCCCTTCCAACCCCAACCACTCTGTGAAATGAAAATACAAATTTAAAAGGGAATTACTTGGAAACTGGTTTATGCAAGAGCTCATATTAGGTTTCTAAACTTAGCCTAAACACGCTTAAGGGTGGTAAAGCAGAGACTAAATCAGCTGGTTGTGTGCAGGCTGTGATGAGACCTGCTAGACTAACCATGCCGAAATAACTGTGCATATTTTAACTCACCTATCAGACTTCTTTAAGTTTAGTGCAATAGTTTTAACGCCATTATTCTTTGATAAATCTTCATATTCAATGGCCTCCTGCAGTTTCACCTAAAACAAGCCAAAAAATTATACACATTACAAATGAAGACAGAATTCCATACATCTGCTTTCTTCCAGTTCACTGAGTTTGAGCAGAAGGGTTACTAAAATCTTAAAGAAAACCAGAGTGTGGAATGACTCATGTCTACCATCCAGAGAGAAACCAATATTGTTTAGATTGTGCCATTTGGATGTCTTGGCACTACTGCTTTTCTGCAGATTCTGGCCAAAACTTGTCAGTCCCTGCTACTTCCAAAAAGCGTTCTGCTATACAGAGAATTACTTCTGATATTTATGTCCATCTAACTCCAGATTAGTAGAAATAGTAATGATTTAATAGCTGTTGTACAAGAGCATCAGACTAAAACCACAGCAATTACCGAAGCTACCCAGTGACAGCAGGGCAGAGCATTAATGGTGAGAGGTAACTGCACAGCAATATCGGACTTTGTACAGTGAGAAAACAGCTTTTGAAATCTCCTGCTCTCCTGCTACTCTTTCACTCCCCTTTTCATCACGTTTATTCTAGTTCTGGTATATCATTTTTGTGCTCAGTAAAAACTGCAGCTTTTTGGGGAAAGGCAAAGCGGTTGACTATCCCAACATTTACAACATACTGTATTCTACAACATTTTCTCACAATATAGCAAAGTTTGGAGTCCTTTTGGCATTTTCTGTTTAGGCTGTCACCTCCAGGAAGAGTGTTCATTCCAATTTTGTAGCAATTACAGTACTCTCTTCCACTTTGTGAGCTGCTATAGTTAGTCTAAGCCAGGCTGTTGCCCTGTATTTCAGTACACCAGGCATCAACTACACTTTCAGTTCAACTTCAGCTTCTGACTCTAGGATGAAGCCTGCCATGTTCCAGTTTAATCATCCCCTCTACAAACAACATGCTTGACAGGCTATATTGATGCTTGAACAGCAATATCCCTTTCTGATGGATGTTCTCTAGAAGTTTTAAGGCATTTGGGGAAAAAAAAAAAGGGAGCAGGCCAAAAATAGAACTGCAGCAAATAGAAATAACTACATTTCTGGGTCCAATCAGAACCATGTTGGAATTTTTTACTTTCACTGGGCACTACTGAAGAGATTAACAGAGCAATACTTCAAGGTGTAATTTATTTGTGTTTACTAACAGCGGTACAAGCCTCTGTTAGGTACAGAGGTACTAGCAGAGGTACAGGCTGTCAGGTTCTTACTCTATATACTTCTAAACAGGGCTAAAGAGGTTTCACTTCAGATGTGTCATAAAACAAGTAAGGAACTTTCAGCAATCTTTTGAGACACAGAGTTTCCAGTTCCATTCAATCAGAATTGCATTAGCTGACTTTATACCTTTTTCAGTGGTGGCTGAAAGAAATCTGAATCCCTGGAGTTTCCATCCGTACTGCTGGTCTCACTGTAATGGTCATTTTGTGCTTCTCTTAAAATAGAGAAACAGCATTAAGAAGAATTCACCTCACAGGAAACTTAAGATACAAGCTAGAGACAAAGTAAATACATCTGTTTCAAAAACTTTATATACACGTTCACATACTGTATGTCAACTTTTTCCCCTTATATCTTCGTTTCTAGCAGTTGATGTAGATAGAAGGAACCAATTCCTCAAATTAACGCTGATTATCACAAGGGAAATTCAACAGCAGGGGAAAGTGCTTCTCCCTCTCTTCAGAAATAGTAGCATGCCAGCAGTGCATGTGGGACACAGCAAAATCATGGCTAGATTAGAAACACTTTGTATACGCTCTTATGCAACCAGGTATTAGCAGAGCTCTGGGAGTCCTGAGATACTACTGTTCCAGGAGGATAGCTATCCTTTTGTCCCTTTCTGAACTGAGAAATAGAAACACACACTGCTCAGAAGAGATTGTTTAAGGCCCAGTGTTTGGTTTGTGCAAGACAGAAAAACAACATGAGGGAGCCCAGCTACCAGAAGGAAGTATTAACTAAGATGTCTCACAGTTAAGGTCTGTAGGATTTGGGGAGAGCAGTAATGCCTTGCCGGTTGCCCATAAACCAGTTGCAGAGCAGATCACATCAAACCCATCTTGTACGTCTGTTAAGAAGTTTCATTTGCGAAGTTCACTGTAAACATATGTAACCACCTAACACATGTTTTTGGTTGGGGCAGGGTACTGCACCAGAGGAATCTTTCATCGGATCCACCTGTGCCACACTGTTCTTTTGCTTCCTCATTTACTTACGTCCCTGCACCCCACCACAGGAAGCCCCAGTAGACCCGCTGCTGGCAGGCAATAGGAACTCCCTGCACCAGCCCTCACCTGCACACAGTGAACAGAAAACTAATTCTGTTCACCAGGGCTAGAGATCTAAGGGGGAAACATTCTTTGCTTTCTAATCTGCTTTATATGCTAACATGGCTAACAATAGCATTTGTCACTTCAAACAGCTCTGAAAAACTTCTGTAAAGTAAAATGGAACCTAAAGGTATTTTTGTCTCTAGATAGAAATAATTAATTCATAAATATTAAAAGAGAAAGTTGGATGAGTTGTGGAAGACATAATTTTGTTTTGGAAATTCCTTAAACTTTGTTACAAAAAAGCTTTTACACAACCCTGAAACTTACTGTTTCCTGAGGCCAGCTGCAAGGACCATGGCACTATGATGATTAAAGCGTTTTATGATGGCAGCATTGCTGCTTTCTCTAGCAGACTTTGAGGCATTTGATGTAGAGGCCACAGAAGCAACACCATAGCCCTACAAAGAGAACAACATTAATTACCTTCTGCCCCCAGAGAAGGACAATTCTGTCTTCCCTTGAGTCAGGAAGTCTGCGTGCCACCTCCTCTGCACTCCACTCAGTGATACTGCATCAGCGTCTGAAGCATCATTTTCCTACCTTTGCCCCACCATCACCTTATGTACTTGGAAAAATCTCCAGTGACTGTTTTGTTCTCTTAGTGCTTGGCAATTTAGAGGTGTCAGAGAGAAAAAATAAAAAAGATAAACAGATCATTTTATAAGACCGTGACCTGTTATAAGTAAAAACAGAACTAGCTTAAAAAAAAATTAAGGATCACCTGTCCAAAACACAGGCAAGGAAGAGCTAGCAATTGTTTTACTGACCTCTTTTCAACATCTAGTGGGACAGCAGCAGCCCATAGGCTAAATGACATCTGTCAGGAGGATGTAATACCACCAGGAATTCAGGAAACCTCAAGCCTTACTGTTGGCAGAGCTCCTTAGTTACCAGGTGGCTGAAGGCAACTCACTTTACCCCATGGGCAGTTTCATGCTTGCAGTTAACCTGCCTCAAAAGCAAACTAGGGCAGTTTGCAGAGCACTTCAAACACACCTATCCTAAACTCATGGTTTCAGACTGTTAGCTTTGGACAAGTCTCACACAAAAGAAAAGAAAAAAGAAAAAAAAAACCAAACAACCAAAAAACTACTGCAGTGACATTATTAATTACAACTTAAAGTTTCAGTTAAATCAGCTGCAGAAAAGCAGATCTTTAAGTTATTTCACATCATGATACACCATTGATATAAATTGTTTTAACTTGTACTTGGAGGCAGGTAATAGTTCAAGTTAAATCATGTTTTTATCAAAAAAAAGTATTTAGGGCTAAACTAAAAAAACTGTATAAAAAGTGTCCTTAACATTAGGCCAAAACTAATAGCAATGTTCAAAGTGAGAACAAATCAAAGACTTTTTCCTTTTTTGTGCTACTCTTCTGTACATTGTCACAGCTTCTAAAAGGTAGAAAAAACCAAAGAGTACACTTTAGATGAAAAAGCTAAGTAGAAGAGTAATTCTCCATTTGCACCCTGCACACCAAGGCAGACATGAAGCACACAAGTTCATGGGCACAGTGTCCATTTCTTTACACACATACAACAGCAGGGATGTTGAGTACCCAACCAATGCAATGGCCTAATAAGTGACTTGGTTTAGAATTAGCATTTGTAGATATTTCAAAAGAAGGACCCTTTTACTCCTTAAATGAAACTAAGGAGGGGGCATGGTTTTCTTTGGAGCTTTTGTTTGTTTTATGTTTTTTCCCCCAACTACTTATACTTACTTCATCTAAGGATTTATCTTCCAAAGCTGTTAAATCTATCAGGGGGTTTTTCACTCCTTGAGACACCATTGCTTTTAACCCTGTGTGAAACAAAGAAAAAAAGGCATCTAAACAAATAGAAATAATTGTGGGATTACTGTATTATATTTAATATTTAAAAGGAAAAGACAAAGGTTCTGCAGAAGCCCAAGTAACACTGAGACTAAAACTTTAAACCCTTTTCAAAGTTCTTTTAAAATAAGGAATAGTTGTGGGAAGTTACTGTAAAAGATCCTCCTACTAATTAGCCCAGTTTTCACCAACTTCTACACATTACTGAAGAGTGTTTGATTAAAAAAAATAAATTGATATGCAGTTACTGGGAAGCCTCAATTGTGTTTCTTCTAATTTTGGCACTGTTTCTCTGCCCTGCCTAGGTAAAATGACAATTTATATCTGGTGACAGGTGAAAGGTTTTCCATTCCTAATAGAATGGTTTCATTAGCCAGAATACATACTAAGGAACGGTGTTAAGTGATCCCTACTCTCCACATTTCTGTATCATCACAAATCTATCTCAAAAGCTCAGTAAAAACTCAAGTCAGATATTATTTTAGGATTTCACATTAAAAAGACTGACAGAGAACAGGGATGGCAACTCCTCTGGACAATCTGGACAAATATAGATCTTGTTTACTAAATCCCCATCTATAACAAAAAGCTGTACCTGTTGTAAATTGTGCACATACCACAAAACAAAGCCTATGTACGCAAAATTATTCCATAGTAACTGATGCTACAGCATAATCAATCTACTAGGATGGCAAATTATGGAATTTACCACTGACTTTACTATTGTATAAGTTGTAATACAGCTTATTTCTAGTGCTGCCACTTTCCAAAGGGTAATTTGTTTCAAGAAATGCACTTACTATGAAACATGCTCAGAATAGCAAAGCTGTAGCTAACTTGCAATGGCTTTCACTTTCCAGTTCACCAAACAGGATGTCTATGAACACAAGGAAACTGTTGACCTCAGCATTGGTAGGTTTACTAGATACACCTCTCCAGTGCTGTGCTCCATGAGTGTAGCAGCTACTGCAGAAACAAACAGCTCACCTTTTTCATCCAGTTTGGCACATTCTGCAAAGAGGTCTTTTGAGCCTGTATTGAGCCTGTCCCGATGAAAATAATGAGACTGAAAAAATCGTGTCCAGAATTCCCTCTCAGTCATGTTGTGTGGAACATTTTCTGCGTATTTCATTTTTACTGTGAACAAAACCAAGAACAATTACAAACTGTTCCACAAAAGTTTATACACCATTTTATGTTAACATTTCCTTGCTGGCTTGCTTGCTCTCTGGGTAATGCTGCCTCTATTCATGCCCATTAAACGGAAGGGACTGCAATAGTTAGGCATGAGCAACAGGTACTCCTTTATGCCCTGCAATGCTTGCTGATGCTTTGAAAAGAAATGCACATAACAGTGGCCTGAACGCTCCTGAATTGCCCCCACACAAGAAGTCTGATTTGCCAGAGTACCAGTCATTTTCAGAAACATATGAATATGCTTCTTCCCATCCCTCTAACAAGGCAGGAAAAATCATCCAGAAGACTGAAAATATGGTCCCTTATACTTCCAGGTGCAGACTAACATTTAGTCTTTCCCTAATAAGACAGTAAAAACCCAATTCTTAAATGCATGTGTTTGGTATACTTCTTACCTGCAGGGTATGTTCGAAATATGGACTCAATAATATCTGAAGTCAAATTGTACCTCAGACCATTGCAGCCATCTGTCTGAGGCCGTACATCAGCCTAAGAAAAAACACAGAGGGAAAAAAAAACCAGTCATGTCTGGATGCCTTCTGTAACTGGAAAAGGAAAAAAAGCTGACATCTTGCAAACAAGCTCTGCTGCAGAGAAAATAATCTTCTTCCTCCAATAATCCATAATGTATTTGATCGTAATAGGTATTTTAGAATGAGAAATGAAAGAGCATACATTTATTACTTTATTATACTTGCCACTTAAAGGAAAATTCAACAAGTAGACTGCAGGCTTTAGAAAGCAAAGAGAACTCCACTGGTCAAAAAAAGGTGTGCTTAATTTAACATATCTTCCTTCTAAAGTAAAAATAGGTATCTTTACTGTATATGCCTCATCTGTTATTGTTCCCTCAACAGTTCAGTGAATAGTCAGCAACAATAATGATGTGACAAAAAAGGATATATGGCTCTTACACCTTATTTCCTTATATATTACAAGCATTTTAGTGATAAATAACACTGAATTTAAAAATGCAGAGTTAGTGTTAGTCAGAACTTTCAACTTAGATCTCAATGATCTCTTTAGGAAGCTCTGGAGCAAGCAAGTGCTCCATCCAATTATGAGTAACAGGAAAAGTACATGATTGCACATGCTGCCACCTTTTCCTCCTTTTCCTGTGCACCTAAAGTCCCTCTTCTTCCTAGGGAAACACTCATTCTGAGCAGAGCCAGATAGTTACTTTAACTTGAACTAGGACACACAAATATCTTAAGTTTTCTTCTTCGCAAATGCAGAGAACATAAAAACAAGCAGTTATTTTAAGAAAGATTCAGTTTTGAAGGTTTGGTGGTTTTTTTTTTTTGGTTGTGATTTTTTTTTTTAATTGATGTTAAGGCGTAAAAATAACGGGAGACAGGAAATCAGAGCAATCAAATTCATTTGGTAACTGATTCAGGTATTTCCACGGGGAGAACCACAAATGTTTGTACAGCAGCTGAAGTGTAAAACAACTCCTACCTCCTCTTTCCCTCTTAAACCCATTGTGTGCATTACAAAGGTGGAAGTGGGATTCCAGCTAAAGATTCATATCAATGAATTGTGTTGCAGAAGTAGAAACATGTCTCTGAGTGAGGAATCTGAAGTTGTACGTAGATTACTTTTAAACTGCACTGGGATTACTGAAGCATGGCTTCTACAAATGGGTAAAATAACTGACGGTTAGGGAAAGAGGAGAGAAAATGAGCTTTCAGATATACAAGTTGTTCTTCAAGTAGCTGAAAGCATGTACCAGTTTAAAAAATTGGGGAGGGAATAAAACCCTCGGGCAGAAACGTTCATTTATGCATGTCAATGCTGCTACAGATACATTTTCTAATTTATTGAGCTAATACACTGTAATCTAGTGACTCTATATGAAACAATACTCCTGTTTCATGGAAGCAGAGCAGCAGCACAAACGACATCTGCCTACAGGCAATTTAAAGGTCAAACTGGGCATCTTAAACTGACAAAATTTTGAGGTTGCAGATTTGCATAAAACTTTTACTTTTCTTTTTTTCTCCTTTACACTTGCAATAGCCTATTATGCAGAGAGATGTTAGGCTGTGGAACCCGGAAAGAACAACACTGAGGTGTATGGGAATAAAGTACATAAGCAGAACCCTCACTTTCCCAAATTTGTTTGCTCTAAAATCCTTTAAGTTAGAGGTTCAACGTACCAGGAATGCTGCAGAGATGCCCACATCCTGCTTACTAGGTGCTGCAGAATTATCCCCTGCATTCAGGCTTAAACGGTTGGCCCAGAATTCTTCAGCACTGATTACTTGGCTCACAACAAGGTCTTTATAGAGCTGAAACAAAACAGGATCTTCTTGCAGCATTCTGGTAAAAGAATGTATTGAATAGAATTGAAACGCTGCAGAATAAACCACTGCTATTTCCACAACTAACATGAGTCCACAAAAGGAACAGAAACCAACTTCTCTTTCAAAATGCTGTGCATTTCTTAACAAGACTGTGTAAACAACCAACCTCAATAGCAGCACTTGTCTCAAAAGACTTACGAAAGGACTAAAAAAATGTTTAAGGAATAGCACTGAATGTTAGAAAACAGTAATGCCTAAGAAAAAGTTAACGTGGGATTAACGTCTTGTCCTAAATATCCTGATGCTCTTGTGTCTTTGCACATCCAGGACTGAGTCTCCTGAATTGTAAAAGCACAAGGAATTTTCTTGATCTTCCATAAGAAAAGTATGATGGATGGAAAAAAAGAGATTTCAGCACTGTCCAATTCTTGGTTTAAGATCTTAAAATTCAGTAGTTACATATCTCTGTTTAAGTGCAAGAGTATAGATTACAAAATATGCATGGAATAAGATACCTTGAAACACACATTAATCTGAGTTGTTTGTTCATTTATGTTTCTGAGGTGACAGCAGGATCTTCATCACTGAACTATCACACGCAGCACAAGTGCTACAGACACAGTCAGTGTCACTACTTCCAGGGTGATGTGTTTACAAAACCAGGGTGCAATGTTTACAAAAGTTATCATCAAATATCAAGTATCACCCTTACTACCCAAAATGCAAAGACTGTATATGCATTAGAATCTTCAGTAAAATCACATTTAAGCAGCTTTGCATACAGCTGTGTACCTTATATGAAACCCACTGGGCTATTTTTAGGGAATCAGCCAATAACCTCACCAATCTTTAACATGTACCTCAGGGTCTTGATCAATTGCAAATAACAAAAAAAAAAATAAATCAGAAATCTTATGAATACATAGTACATGGTCTAGAGAAGAATATGGATAAAGTGCTATCTGGACAGAATGAAAGTCTGTAGCTGCTGCAAGGATGAAGTAGGATGAGGTGGAAGTGAAAGCTTTGTGGCAGCACATCCCTATTATGTTTTAACCACTGAGGTTTCTCCATTTTTTTCTTGTTGGTACAGATATGGATTAGTGGTAATTCTTACAAATTAGTGCAGCACAAAGCAGTCTGTTATTCTAATTATTTCATTACAGCTTGGAATTTTGGTACATACCCAACTCCCACATATCAACAAATGAAGGCAGTGCTGCAGAGACTCTAGATGAAGTATCCTTCCAGGTTGAAACTTTTTTTGCCTTATCTGTTGCAAATTAAGCTAATGAAGCCCCATCACTAGACTTGGATTTCTAATCCTCAAGAGAACACACTATGGCTGAGTATGTGCAGAGCTTCTGGCTTTTCAGTAACTAGAAAAGCTCCTGATGCCTCATGGTGTGATGCCGTAAAACTCCATTTAAGGATGCAAGGATTCAGGGCTCAGACTGCCCATGTTCTAAATACTAATACTGTTAGAAATGAGGCACGTAGCATAAAGAAACGAGTATGGGAATAGTGCCAAAGCAGGCTGCTCTGCTGCAGACCCTAGTGGTTGCTGCAGTACCGGAACCAGTTAATCCCGGATGTGTCACGGCTCCAGCACTAGGGCTCTGGTCCTTCTGCTGGGAATTCTCCCTTTAAAGATCCAATCTGCCCCATGAGGCAATGCTCCCATGTTTTGAAAAATCTAGCTTTAACTTATCTAAGTTCAAAGCTAGAACAGTCTTTGGAAATGGAAGCTTGTAGATAGAGGATTCACAGCAGACACTAGAATGAGGTGAAACTCATTTGAGGAGTTCAGAGAAGGGAGCTCTATGGCCACAAGGACTGGTTTAACACAAACAGTTTAAAGGAATGGAAATGTATCTTAGCCCTTTTGGGAAAAGGATGTAGATCCTCAACATCATCTCAAAACATTTTTTAGAATAAACATCCTGTACGCCAAATTACATTCTGCATCTCAAGTGAGAGACATGAAAATACTTAACAATTTAGAAGTCTATAAAACATCAGAAAAGAAGATTTGAGGGGGAAGAGGCTATACAGGGAGGAAAAAAAAAATCACAAAGCTCCAGAAAACTTCTGGAAAAGGAAAAAAAAAATCTTTCAAGCAGCTTTTCTAACTGATACATGTATATTTAAGAGGACTAAAAGAGAGAGACTGCAAGTTGGGTGCTCTCATAGCCATGTGAAAGAAAGAAAAAAAGCAGATTGGCTGCATTTACACCTCAAGAACGTGTCACTAAGAATACAAGTATAGTCTCAACATGTGACAGTTACACAAGTCCAAGGAACTGCCTCTAAATTTAAAGCAGGGAGATTTTTACTAGGAAACAAATGCCGTATCACTCATGATGTTGAAACAACAACTGCTAACAGAAATACATGATAGTTAGCTAACAATTAGAAGAAAAAAAATCCAACAAAGTTTAGGTTCCTTTCCCTTTACCTGTTCTTCTCCTCAAGTTCTTTATTAGCTTTCCTTTTGAACTTAGGCAACAGTTGTTGAAGAAGATCCTTTACTGCATCTCGCTCCTTCACTGCTGTGCTTTCATTGGAGAAGTGGAAGTTGGTCGTGTCCCCTGCATGCAATACCAGCTGAAGCTGAATTTTTGCTTTACCTTCTGGACTGATTTTCTGGCCTAGATTGTAGAGAGACAGACAGTAAGCTTATACAAGAAACTGTCTTCCCTAGAGTATTTGCTTATAAGGAGTTATCCTCATCATCCAATTAAATACCATTATCCTGCATGTGAATTCCAGCCATGAAAGTGGAACAGTCAGTCTTCCCCCTGAATTACTTTGAACCCTGCATCTTGTTCACGGTAAAACACAAGACACAGACACCAGCAGCTTGTTGCTCAGTATCCTTCAATTCCTGCCCAGGAGCCCTGATTCATCTTTGCATTCCCCACAACCTCCATTAGGAAACTGCCACAAATGCAACTGTCATCACCTGGACACCTCGACCTGGAGCCAATCCAGACTGCTGCTGAAAGATCACAACCTCCTTCCCCCTTTCCACTTCTTCCTGCTGCCTTTCTTGTATGGCTGTGTTTGTGTAGCAAGCTGAACCGAGGAACTGATACACCGAAAAGTACCCCCTTTTGTTTTTCCAGCTGGACCAGCTCCCACAGAAGGACAGTGGTAGGAAAGCAGAGACAGGGTGAGTAGCAGCATGCCTGGATCCCAGTTTCCAGAGGTGAGGTAAGTGCAGTTAGCCACTAGTATTTCCCAAGCTGATCACCAATGCCTCCAAGGTACTACTACACCCTCATGACTCATAAGAAAAACCTAATTCCTGCTTCCATCCTCATAACCAGAGGGAGCAGAGGCTGGGACAGCTATGCTTATAGACTCTTATGCTATACTGACTTCAGTGTAGCTCTGCAAATGGCACTAACCTAACTTTTAATATTATCCCTTTCTCCAGTGCAAGTGGGAGACAGGAACCAGATGTCAACACTGAATCATCTTCTCTATTACAAATTTACAAATACGTTCCACCTTTTTTTTTATTTTAGATGACAAAAGGAGCATATTTCATCTAAGTTAAAAATACTTCAGTGCCTATACACGTAAGTATTTAAAATATAAGTTGCTTAAGTGTAAGTTAATAGCTAAATAAAACCTTTGCAAAGTTGATTATTATAGGTGAACAGGGTTTTTAAACTCCTTATTACATTCATATTTAAGAAAATAGCATCTTAGTTCTGATTCGTCACACATTTTTGATCATGTTGCAGTACTCTGATGTGACTTTAAACAGCAATAATCACTAAACCACCAAGTGACGCACACAACTTACTTTTTATTCCTTCTTTGGCATTACAGCACGTGAAATATGAGAACTAATTGGAGCCAAAAAGGCAGGATGCTATAGACATTTACTGTTTAGTTTTGACTTGCAAGTACTCTGCTATTGCAACAGCAAATGCTTATTCAGAATGTTACTAGCTAGGCCAAACTACAGAAGCTGACACTTCTGAAGCTATGGTCTGCTGGATGAAAATAAAACTGAGAGTTCATTTTATATGAAAATTGAAACAGCTTTAGATGCTGAGTTTAACAGATGACATGCCAGATACTTTCTGTGTTAAGACTCTGAAAATCCTATACGCTTCCTCAGCCCTCCTCCCACCCTTCCCTCCACAAGCATATGGCATAGATTATTTTTCTGTTCAATTTATTGCAGAAGTCTATCAAAAGTTAATATTAAATGGAGTATAAGTTAAACATCTGAAGACTACAGAAGTTCTGCAGTAGCATCCTTAGACTGGTGATACTTCACCACAGTCCTGATCTCTGCTGCTTCACAGAGTAGCCTGGTCAAAGCTACTCTGCAACCTTCCTCACCTATATCTAGTGCCATATGGCATATGAGCTTTGGGTTATCTTTAAATATTTGTCAAAATCCTACTTACTGAAGCTGGAACAGGAGAAGTGTTGACTTACATTTTATGTCTGCATACATATGGCTGACTGTGAAGCGGTCTTTGCCTTCAGGTGCCCATGCTATCCGTTCAGCCATGAGGTACAGAGCTCCATCCTGCTTCTTCTGACGTACCTTCTTTACAATCAGTAACACTTCTTCAGATGATGTTGCCATTGTGGCTGCAATGAGCTATTAAAAACATATAGTTGAGCTGATTATTTATAATTATTTTTACTGTAAGTCTTTCACTACTCCTATGCATGTTGAAGTATTACAGTCCACATTTACTTGTTCATGCATTCAAATTTTGGAAACGTTTCAGATAAACATGCTTCCCTCTGTCAGTACAATCAGCAAATTTATTCAAACAAAATACTCCCAGCTAACTAAATAATGTATGCAATTATATGCCGATACTGCTTTTGCTCCAATAAAAGGCCCATGAATCTTACATTTAAACTGATAACTCAATTTTCCTGGTTTAATGTTCCTTACTGGTTTTTCAAGTTCAGAAGAATATTGAAGCTAAGCAAATTCATAAATTCCAAATCTCTTCTGGTATTGGCAGCAATTCCTTTCTTCAATGGGAATGGCAGATGCTAAGTCATTTCAGAACGTGGAAAGATACAAGGGATGTGAAAAATCATGGATTTTCAGGTCGCTGTGCTAAAGACCAGGCAGCCCAGTGACACTGCTGTTCTTATTGTGGTGGGTTTTGCCCAAGGCTTGGACAATGTTTTGCACGTTTGATTGCAGCTGGCTAGTTTCCTATCCCTCTCCCCCAAAGTCTGAGGGACTAATGTTATAAATACTACAGCACAATGATAATTTTTCACAAGCCTTTTGATACTTGCTGCGTTGTTCTCCCCAGCAGTCACTATCACTGCTCTCTCCAGGTTCAACCTACAGCCTTAAATTTCTCAGGAGATTAAGGACACTGCAAGTATAACTGTCCTCCGTCAACATACTGTTGTACACCTATCAAAAACTTACATCTTTGGTAAGTTTGCTGAAAATGTTTACTATGTCTAATTGCTGTATTTTGTGTATCACATACTTTACTACTGATATGCAAAGTAGTATTTGCCAATGCTGATATGCATGTTTCATGTGTTTTAGAATACCTTTGCTGGGGCCCACACCAAACCTGAGATTGCAACCTGCATCAGCTATCACACTACTAGTAGATACCACAAAATGATACTTCTAAGCATTTAAGTTCACATGCTTCTAATTGTCTTTAAAAAAAATGCCAGCAGCAAGCTGGGATATTTTACTCTGACAATCTGGACAGTAGCATTCTCTTCAGCAGAAGTCTTACAAGCCGACATCCCAATGATTTATGTAAAATACTGAATGGAAAGACTTCATGGCAAAAGGGCTCTGCACTTAAGCTTTACTCCTTCACCATTCCAGCCATCCAAAGCTTTGCCAAAGGGTTCAGTGATGCTGAGCTCATTGTGGGGTTTCACATCAGCACCACTGCAGCAGTCACTAGAACGCGCTGTGCCACATTCAGAGCAGCCCTGCTAATACTTCTTCCTCAAAGAAAACTGCATGGCATGATTTCAGGAGTGTTCCGTAGCATTATCCATGACAGACTCCCCAGCAGCATTATTCCCTTTCAGTGCTATTCACACAACCCTTTTGTGTAGTTTCCTGTTGCAGGTCTGCAGTCTCTCATCTGCATCTTATCCTTACTGGAAAAGGGTAGCTGGCCACAGACTCTAAGAGACTGGACACCTCAACATATGCAAGACTAGGGATTTTGACATTTTTCTCCCTTTGTTACTTTACAGTCCCTTAAAGGTCATTATTATCCAATGCAGTGGAGCCAAAGCCACAGAATGCAAAAGGAATTAAACCTGCACTGAACAGCAAGCAATAGGAAAGCGTTTCCATAGTCAGGCTCATTCTGATGCCAGTTGTTTTGCTTTCCTACCATGCCATTTCACCCACCTACAACCAGTCTTTCAACTACAGAAGCAAAGGATCAGCAGCTACCAACTTTTCCTTTACAGCCATTCTAGCACAGTACCCCACAGTGTGCAATCTGTGAGCACACAATTATCCCACAACTGGCTCATTCCACCTTCTCGGAGGGTGAGCACGCTGGCTCACTGCTGTTCTTTCTATCTTTGCTGTGCTTTCTTTTTCCTGCAGTCATTTACAGTGGAAGTGGGATGATACAACTCCTGAGCACAGCAAGCATTACCCAAAATGGAGAAAACCCCGAGCTGTCTTTTGAACAGTACATCAGAAAGAACAAAAAAAACCCCTATTAATAAGCAGGATTTAGGAAGGTTACCGTCTGTCACTAATGAAAACAAAATGGCTTCTTGTTACAAGAAGTACTAAATTCTAAAATAGAGATCTTGCATGAGAATGGTCTCCTACAGGGAAGGCTACGTCCTCGCTAAGCACACACAGCGCACAACTCATTTTCCTTTTTTTTTTTTTTGGACATATAAGGCTTACTATGCAGCAGGGTGAGAGCCATCAATGCTCTACTTGTGCCTGCCCAAATCTCATAACCTCTACATTTATCAACTCAGGTTTCCAGGAATTAGGACTGCGGATGATGACACTGCTGCTCAGAGGGGCAAGGACTGCAACATGCGTGCAGAGAAATGCTGTTATTTAACAGCTTGAAGTGATAATTTTAATCTGCTGCAGCATTACAGACAGACCTTTCTCTGGTTCAAGTACCTTCCAGAATAGAGAGGTCAGACAGGTTATTTTAAATTCTTCAGCAGCAGACCTTTTCAACTGATGGTCAATAGTTCTAAAAGCACTTGGATCAATCAGCAGCCCTAACCCATGAGGTGTGGCTCATCATCAAGCCTGTCTTGAGGACATTAGTTGCAGTTGCAGTTTACAATTGGCAAAGTGTATCAGGAAGCTTAGTGTTGGCACAGACTGAAAAAAAAGGTTCTATTTGCTTACCCACCTATAAGCCTTCCCCTCTTAGCTCTGTGGGAGCAAACACAGCTCCTAGAAAAACTGTCAAATTCCAATAGCTATCCTTCCTCTATCAGAGTGACTCTCCTAACCACTTTAACAACTAGGTACCTCTCATCTCTGTTCGTTACAACACCTGTTCTGAACGCTCTCCATTACCAGCATTTCACTGCAGTCTCTTCTCATGTGGTTTTGTCGAGTTCTGAGCAGAGATAAAGGAAATGTTTACACATTTTAATAACCCTGACTTGGTCAGGGTGGGCATGGGCTGACAGGTGAGCTCTGGCAGATCTGATGCAGACCTTGCTGCTGGGTTTCTGCTCCCCATAGGGAACCGTAGAATCATGGAATATCTGCGCCAATGGCACAGTCTGACACAGGCAGGGATGGATGAATGCAGCCAGCCCGGGGACAGCCCAGGGGCCTCTGTGCGGGGCCGAGAGCAGCTCAGCAGCACCCGAGGGGCAGCAGGGCCCTGTCAGCAGGACACGGCCCAGCTGGACAGGGGATGTCAGCAGTGCCGCTTGTCCCGGTCATGGCGGGGGGAACCGCGGTCGTGAGCCCGCCTAAGGGTCAGGCCGGCCTTACCCGACCCGCATCCCCACGCTCCGGGTGGGATGTCAGCCCGAGACGAGGGACCCGGGCACCCGCATGGCCCCGCTGGGGGCTGCCTGGCCCCGGTGCCCCGGCAACCGGCCAGGGCATCTCTCTGTGCGCCGCCCGCCCCCGGGGCCAAGTCCCGGGGCAAAGCCCGGTGCCCGCGGTGCCGCCGCCGCGGCGCTGCCACCTCCCCGCCGCTCCCCGGCCCCGGGGAGCGCACACCGGCCGCGCCGCCGCCCCGCTCGTCCCTCCCCTCACGGTAGCCGCGGCCCCGCCACACGCTCGCCGGGCACGGACGAAGCGCGGGAGGCCAAAGGCCGCCGCGGCACCACCGCGGCGCGGCCCCGCCGCCCCCGGGGACGGACTCGGAGGAGCCGGGGTGGCGCGGCCGGGAGGCGGATCGGGCACCGCCTTCCCCCCCGGCCGCCGCGTTCCCCTTCGCCCCGCGGCGGCGGCTCTTACCGTGCGGGCGGTGCCGGGGCTGCTCCGGGCGGCAGCGGCGCTACGGGGGTCGGGCCGCGGCCGCCGCCGGGGCCATGGGGCGGGCGGGGCGGGCACGTGACCGGAACGGGCCGCGGGGCGCCGGGGGCGGGGCCTGCACCACGTGACACGGGAGCGGCGCCGTCACCGCATGGGCCCGACGGTCACGTGGGGCGCGCGCCCCTCCCGGCCCTCCGCCCCGGTCACGTGGCAGCCGCTCCCCCCGTCACCATGGCGGCGGCGGGCGGAGGGGGCAGTGACGAGGCGGCAAAAGGGGCACCGCCGCCATCCCCCCTCCTCTTCCCCGCCGCGCCCGCGCCCGCGCCCGGCCCATCCCCCGCCGTCACCCGTCGTCCCGCTCGTCCCTGGCCATCGAGCCCCGGCGGCCCGCTCCTGCTCCGCTCTCGGGTCGGCGGCGGCGCGGCCGCGCTGCGGGGGAGGGGCGTCCCCTCGGCCCCGGCCCGCGCGGCGGGAGGTAGGGAGGGAGGGGGTGGCGCGCGCGTCATGGCGTCACGTGGCCGGGGGGGCAGGGGCGGGCGCGCGCCTGACGCGGCTTCCTCCTCCTCCCCCTCCTCCTCCTCCCGCGCGCTCCGGGTGACGCAGCGCCGAGCGGGCGCGCGCCCCTGCCCCGCCCCGCCCTCTCGCGCGTCACGTGACTGCGGAGTCTGGAGGTGGCGGCGGGAGCGGCGCCGGGAGAGGGAACTGGAGAGGGAGAGAGAGAGCGGTGAGGGACCGGGAGAGAGGGGACCGCGGGTGAGGGACCGGACCAGGGGCGAGCGGTGCTTCCTGGCTGAACGTCTCCCACGGCCGGCGCCGCCCCGCGCGTTGAAGGGTCAGGGGGTCTGTGCCGCGGCCCCGTCGGGACTCTCGGCTCCCACCCGTGCCCTGCCTGCGGTTCCGGGAGGAGCTGGGGGGTTCCCTCTCAGCTTTTGCGGTGCTTCGCCTCGCTCCGTGCGTCGGAGAGAAAGTGACGCCGTGTCGTGGTTCAGCTCCAGCCGGCAACTCGTGGCCACTCAGCCCTCCCCAGCAGCGGAGTAGGGGATAAAAGTGACAATTAAGGCTTTTAAGACGTCTTGAGAATTTTGAAGAAGTAACTTTCAGTTTCTCTGGCTAAATGCGTCTGTTCCTTTTTCCTAGTTCCTGGTGAGGACGTTCACTTTTCTTGTAAGGAAACGTAAGGTTCCACATGACCGGCTTTTTTGGGAGGGAGTTACTTAATTTGTGGGACTGCACACTAAGCGCTACTTAGAAATTCAGGGGCTTGAGTATGCGGTGTAACAAGTTTGGGGTTTTGTTAAGCAACGCATAACTTAAAAGCTCAACAAGAGATTCTTTTAAAGTATGTGCCCTTTATAAAAAATATATGAGGTTGCAGCTTTGATAGGTATTTAGTCACCAGTTTTCACTCTGCGTTACCTCTCCTGTGTGAAGGAAAAGAGGGACCATGGAGAGAATAGTTTATAGTTGTATCAAAATGCGCAAATGCAGGTAATTCTAAATTTGGTATTACTTGAGGATAATACTTATTAAATTTAGTTTTGAGGGAGACGATGATGTAGGTGTAAAATGCAAATGCTGAATGTTTTCCTTGAGAAAATTAGTTTCAAATCAAGGGTGCATGCTGTGAGGGGAAGTGTGTTTTTCTATAAAACACGGCTTTTTCCATAGTTAGGCAGAACTTGTTTCACTGGTGGATATAAATACAGTTTCAGTATTTTGAAGATGGGTATCTGAAATGAACAAAAACTTCTCATAAATGAAGCAGAAATCTAATTTTGCAGCCCTTGGGCCTTTTTGGCAAACTGAAACCTGATGATTTTTGAGTGGGAAAACATTGTATTTCTTTAAGTACAGAAAACCAGATATAATGCTATAAAAATTAACTAATCAAGAACTTAATTTTTGGCAGGTACAGCTAAAAACTGAAGTTGTAACATACTCATGAGTGAGCAGCACTAGTCGTGTATATCAATGGCCTCTGTGCCAGTAATTCCAGACTCTTACAACCATGTGTTGGCAGAGTTGGAATGTTTGGATCCATTGCTTTCTGCACTCAGGCTGGATTCCAGTCGTCTGAAGGTGAGTTTGTGGTGTTTGCTATTTTGTTTGGGTTGGGTTTTTTAATTCAAATAATAACCTTATTTTGTTAATTATTTGATTAAACCATAGGATTCATCTCATTGTTTTTCGGGGTATGCATTTTAGCTTATGGGAGGGAGCACTTTCTAAGAAAGAGTGAAGACAAAGGATCCTGTTACTCTGTGTGTTTTCTGATGCAGCTGTGGGGTACAAACACATCCTGACATGGTTGCTGCCTTACACTGTTTGCTCCAGTTGCAGAGTGTGCTGTTCTAATATCTCTGCTGCCAGTGTTTCAGGAGGGGTGCACACAGCTGGCAAACAGTGAAGCCTTTAAAAAAATAATAATGCAAGAAAAAAAATGCTGTGATTAGAACTTACCAGCAGCCAGGTTGTGCATTATGATTTTTATTCCTTCAGTGCACGTGTATAGATGTGTCGAAGAGATGGCTGGCTCTGGGTAGTTCAGGAGGAGGACTGAACCTTATCCAGAAAGATGGTTGGAAGCAAAGACTCTTTCTCACTCATAAGGTAAGAGTAAAGAGTGCTAAATGAAGATTTATGAAAATGGGGCTGGGAAAGAGACATTATTTCAAGTTAATCTTTATTAAGATGAATCTTCAGCTTGCTAATTGTCCAAATAAGGTGAAGTTTTGAACTGCTGTGTTTAAAATAGGCTGCGGTTCTGGAGTGTATTCCCAGAGTGTGTGGTGTAATAGATTTCATTAGGTGTGAAAGAAATTACCTAAGACATTTGTTTTTCAAATGCTTATTTTTAATAGCAGCAACAAAGTCACCTGAATACTTAAGAATCAGAAGAAAACTTTGAACATGAAACCAGAAAAACTGACGTGTAGATAACTCCCAATGTTTGAATGTCCAAACCCCAGTATACTGGGATAAGTGAAGAAAAGATAGACTGACTTGCTTTTGCTGGAAGAGATGATGGAACAGGGATTGCTGCTTCTACAGTAGATGCTGTTCCCTGGGAGCCACTGGTGCTTCCAGTGTAACATGAATGCAGACATTTTTTTAAGGTTGGGAGCATCTCAGTTCTGGCAAAACAAATCCAAAAGGTGCAAGGACAGGAGACTGATGCTTCTGTGTTTTACAAATTGGAGAATGCACTGCAGTCGTTGCACTTGATGTTCTCATGTTGTTGGCAACTGCATCCTTTTGGAGTAAGCTCAGTGCTTGCAAACAAAACCCAGACCAAAAAAACCCAACCACATCACAAGAGAGTGGTGGCATCTGCTGACATGATTCTGGTTTATGTCTTAAAGATAATTAAGTTGCATAGTGGTAAAGGCAGTATAGGAGCAACTTTTACCTGTGCTCACTCCCATACCTCCTTTCAGGAAGGTGCCATTTCCCGGGTGGCCTGTTGTTTGCATGATGAAGACTATGTTGCTGTTGCCACCAGGTGAGTGATGCACCTACAAACTTGAGTGCTGGATAAATATTTTTAAGTAGCTTCTGAGTTTCAGATTTGGATGCCTGCTGAGAACTTGGAGGGGCCAGGGAATTAACTGGTAGAGGGCCCTACAGAATGATTCTCTGCACAGACAGTTTACTTAACTTTTTTTTTTTCCTGGAATAATTGTTCCAGAATAAGTATTATTTCTGTAACAGAACATTTATGGGAGAGCTCATACATGTGAAGTTATGATGATAAATGTCTCTCTGAGACCTTTCAGCATCAAAAGAAGCATCTTCATTACCTTGGCGGAGAGACATTGGTAGTTAGTGCCACTTACATTGCTTAAAATCCATTTAAACTTAAGTATTTTTTCTCATCCTCACTGGCAATTCTAGTAAATGTGAGATTAGCCTTCCAAAGCTGCTGAAGCATTGTAATGCAATGAAGGACATTTCTTCTTCAGAATTAAGTGTGAGATGCTTCTTGAAAGCATGCAACCTCCAACAGAACCAGCCCTGAGGTGTGCTGCTTCCCTTGGGATTTCTGTTTCTTTGGAAAAATGCAACTTTATCACTGATAAGACATCAGAAGACTTATTCTCAAATGGCACTTTCTTTTTTAAATTGTTGTAGCCAAGGTCTTGTAGTAGTCTGGGAGCTGAATCAGGAACGTCGTGGGAAGCCAGAACGGATTTATGTTTCCTCTGAGCATAAGGGCAGAAAAGTCACAGCTCTGTGTTGGGATACTGCTGCCCTTCGAGTTTTTGTAGGAGATCATGTGGGAAAAGTATCAGCCATCAAGATTAACACATCGAAGCAAGGGAAGGTAAAATGTTGCATACTTTGATTGAGATTAATCCACAAGGATGTGATGTGTGGAATCTTTTTGTTTATTTTAGTAAAGTAGAACTAGGCAGGACTTGCCAGCTGATGTTCTGGTAGCTTTAACTATTGGGATGAAGAACTAGTCTCTTGAGACAACAGTAGAAATTCCTGACCCATGAACTTGCCCCACTCTCCTTCTATTTTAGTAATGCAACAGGAAAATGCTTTCAAGTGTTCAGAATTAAAAACTGGATGAGCTGCTGCTTCTTGTAATTTACAAGTATCCAAGTCTTGGTGTTTCTGAGTCTGCTGGATTCCTTAGAGTCCAGCTGCAGGTTCAGCTGTTTGTTTTAGTCCTCAGCTCAGCTGTTGGTCTGAGAAAGGGCAGTCCCAGACTCTGATTTTTCTTGGCTTTGTCTGGATACTCTCATTCTTAAAGATAAGGATTAGATAAAACAAATGGTGGGTGGACATCAAGCCCACATCCATTACATTTTGTGCAAAGGGCAAACACGTTAATGATAGCAGCCTGATTTCTAGCCCTTGAGTGTTCTTTAGGTTTTTTACCGCTGCTGGGTCCTTTCCTTCTCATTTTAGTCTGTAAAGAGGAGCAGAACCTGGAAATCATTGTGCTCTTCCAGGTCCTTTCTAGCCCTCGTGGAAGATTTTGATAGAAAATTGACTTAAAAGTAGCAATACTGTTGATTGTATTT